AGGTATCCCGTGATGGCACACTGTTTGCACATATGCTCTGATGGGCCAGCATTGGAACAGCTGATGGAAAAAACTCCGGCAAGAGTTCACCAAGAACCCTCCCTTGGCTGGTGCATACACACCTAAGCGAAGTAAGACAAGATTCCATTCCTTTTTTCTTTCTTTCTTTCTTCTCTCTCTTTCTCTCTTCTTCTTTCTCTCTTTCTTTCTCTCTTTCTTCCTCTTTCTTTCTCTCTTCTTTCTCTCTTCTTTCTCTCTTTCTTTCTCTCTTCTTCTTTCTCTCTTTCTTTCTCTCTTTCTTTCTCTCTTCTTCTCTCTTCTTTCTCTCTTTCTTTCTCTTTCTTTCTCTTTCTTCTCTTTCTTTCTCTCTTTCTTTCTTTCTTTCTTTCTTTCTTTTTTTCTTCTTTCTTTCTCTTCTTTCTCTTTCTTTCTTTCTTTCTTTCTTTCCTTTCTTTCTTTCTTTCTTTCTTTCTTTCTCCTTTCTCTCTTTCTTTCTCTTTCTTTCTTCTCTCTTTCTTTCTCTCTTTCTTTCTCTCTTTCTTTCTCTCTCTTTCTCTCTTTCTTTCTCTCTTTCTTTCTCTCTTTTCTTCTCTCTTTCTTTCTCTCTTTCTTCTTCTTTCTCTCTCTTCTTCTCTCTCTTTCTTTCTCTCTTTCTTTCTCTCTTTCTTTCTCTCTTTCTTCTCTCTTTCTCTTCTTCTTTCTTTCTTTCTTTCTTTCTTTCTTTCTTTCTTTCTTTTCTTCTTTCTTTCTTTCTTTCTTTCTTTTCTTCTTCTTTCTTTCTTTCTTTCTTTCTTTCTTTCTTTCTTTCTTCTTTCTTTCTTTCTTTCTTTCTTTCTTTCTTCTTTCTTTCTTTTCTTTCTTCTTTCTTTCTTTCGTTGATTTGCTGTTGTCACATCTCAAAGTTAATGCAGATAGTAGAAATAACATTGTAAATTGTTAGACCCTTTTGACAATCTTGTAATAATAAGATAAGATCAATATTGCAATAATCTATTACAATGGTAATATTACATTTTATTATTTTGTGATGTGCACACCTGCATTATTGTCATTGCATCAGCTGAAAAGCAGCGATGCTATTTGTTTTTTCGATAAAAGACCGCGCAATAAAAACATAGGAGAAGGCTCAATTAATGTTTGATAATTTCATCAAAATGGCCTCAAAGCTTTTCTTATTCCAAAGCAGAATAATCTTCAATAGGGAAATTTGCATAAAAACCAAATTCAAGACAGTCCTTACTATTTGTGAATTGGAAATAGCAGTAAAATATAAGAAACAACTAAATTAACATTTTTACAATCCATCAAAAGGGTCTCAAGTTTTTTTTTATCCTATTCAATGCAAACTTATCTTCAATTTTGAATAAATTTGCATTACAATTTTAAAAGACAATCCTGACGCCTGTGGGACATTTCCACAGCTGTCTTAAAAACTTTTGACTGAATCTTTGAAAATTTTGAAGTTAATTCTGGATTGAATCTGACAGAAAAAAATATATATATATTAAATAAGTTGTTTCTTATATTTTACTGCTATTTCTATTCTTACAAATAGTAAGGACTGTCTTTGAATTTGGTTTTATGCAAATTTCCCTGTTGAAGATTATTCTGTTTTGTTAACCCAGTCACGCCGGGTACATTTTGTAGCCAAAATTTAAAAAATCTGGGCGGCTACAAAATCGGCGGCGGAGCTTCCCCGGAGTCTGTCCGCCCGCCCGCCGCGTGCCGCTTCTGCCTCGGAGCGCAGCCCCGAGACAGCATTGCACTGGCGGTCAGCCCGACATTGTTTATTTTACCCAGTGTCTCATATATGTGACACCCGGGACGAATGGGTTAATAATAATAGAACCAGAACCATGTTTGATAATTTATCAAAAGTGGCCTTAAGCTTATGTTTGTTTAGTGCTGGCTCTGGTTGCTGGTTCTGTCTAGTTCTGGTTCTGGTTCTGGTTAAACCAAACTTGCTAGACTCGGGAAACTTCAATGCTACTTTTTAAAGATTATAAAACCTTAATTGTGCCTTTTCTTAGATGTTTACTGTAGTTTTCTCTTCCAAAAAAAATGAACCAGACACCTCCACAGCTTGTGCAATGACTAAAATGTTGGAGTACACTATTATGGGGTTTATGATGGAATGCAAATTTTAGTTTTAGCTAAGTGCTAAGTGCAATGCACTGAAATTGGTGAACAGACATGTCTGTACATGCTATCTTGGCATCAGTGGGTTAACTTTGGAATGTCATATATATACTGCCGAGTCTTAGGCCAAGTCACAGCAAATTATGACAATCTCGAGTCAGTGTTTTAAATTTGTCAAATTCTTTGGCTTCTTGGGAATACCAACCCTATTACCTTCAGTGTTTGTCAGTGTTCCAGTATTTGTTTCTCATTCATCACCATCAATCATAATGTTTCCCAACATAATGATGTATATACAAGGCCCCCTTTGCTTTAAAAAATAAACTTAGAACTGCACTAGATCTGATAATTATACAGTCTCCTAATCAGAAAACCAATTGGTCATGATCAGGGGTAACCTCCCACTCCCTCAGATAATACACATTTTAATTTTATCATATTTTTCTTTTACAACAGATGAGTGTGCAGCCCAGTTCATTGATGGATCTTGGTATCGTGCAAAGGTAGAGAAGGTTGCTGCCGGCAAAGTCAGTGTTAGATATATTGACTATGGCAACAGAGAAGACACCCAGTCTGTCAAGTGTGCAGCTCTCCCCATGGGCTTCCACTCTGCCCCAGGCTATGCTCATGAATTCCATCTGGCACTTGTGAAATTCTGCAAAGATGTAAGACTTAGTGTTATTCTAAGCTTCTGGGTTCTCAAATATAGTAGTTGTTTTCATCTTCCTTTTTTTTTTTTTTTTTTTTACCACATCCATTGAATAATGAAGCACTAATGTAGATTTTTTTAATTTTCAGGAAGATTTTCTTGAAGATGCATTGGCAGCTTTCATGAATGAAGTGATGGATCGTGAGGTATTAATTAATCGCGAGTATCGTCTTTCTGGTGCTGAATACGTTTCTATCCAACGATCAGACACAAAAGTAGATGTTGCAAAGACGCTCATTTCCCAAGGCCTGTTGATGTTGGATGAGCGGAAAGACAAACGGCTGCAGTCTGTGGTGAGATAGATTTCTTCGCTAATTTGTTCAGTTAATATTTGTCACAGAAACTAAAATGATTTTTAATTCCTTTTTAAAAGTCAAAATACAAGGTAAGGTGTAAATTTTGCTTGGCATGTATGTTTGTTCCTTCTCTCATTCTTAAATGAACCCATTATTTAATTCTTCGTCTAGGTGAGTGAATACCGTACAGCCCAAGAAGAAGCCAAGAGGAAGCACTTGAACATCTGGCAGTATGGTGACATCACTGATGATGATGCCCATGAATTTGGCATGGAACGATAAAGAGGTGGAAAGGAAAGGAGAGAAAGAAATCTTAAATGGCAACAGCTATAGGTTACTCCGTAAGGAAAATATATTAATGTGATAAGTGTTAAACTTTCTCTGGTTTTGATATTAGGATTTAATTTAAAACTGAATTGTAAGGAAACACAAATTAAAACTGGCATCCAAGCTGTATTTACATTTCCAAGTGAACCTCAGTAACTCTTTTATGAAGTGCACTGTTGCTGTACAAACTATCATCTTTTTGTGGATTAACTGATATTTTAATTCAAAATACATGATAAGAATTAGTGAAAGGGTCTGTGGAGTGGAAAGACGTGCTTGCCATCATCTGAGGAGTCTATTAAACATTGCCAGCAATTTGTGTCAGTGTAAATCCCCTCCGTGGCTTAATTTTCTATGGCTGTCTGGCCTTTTTTTATGTGAGGTATCAGTTTCATTTCCCAAAGGTGTGTGTAATAGTCGTAGCTTTCTAAGTTTGGTTGGTGTCTCTCGACCTTAGACCCCCTAAACTCTGGTACTGAAAGAATCGGCTGAAGATATATATATATTGAAAGTGCTATCAAGTTTTTTTAAAATCTCATATTCCATTACATGTTGCATATAAAGGTTGTTCTTAAGAAAAGCCGATCTTTTTCTTTCTTTTATCAAGTGGTCTCTTATACCATTTGAGAAATTTCGTTCATGTTGAAGTATTGTTTTTGAAGTTATATTTTGTATTTTTATTTATTTATTTTTGTTTTGAAGTATGCATTGCTGATGCAATTTATATAATCTAGGTACATCAAAATGAAAAGACTTCTGTACAGAAGTAGTAGTTTCATTACACAAATGTCTCAAATTGTGACTTGAAAAGTTGTAATTAATATATTTGCAAGAGATTATATGCCAATTAATGGGTACCAATATGCTTCTACTTTTGAAGATGTGTATATATAAAAGCTATAACTAGAATTACATCAATTGACAATTACTGTTGTCAAAATTTTTGTCTATGTCCAGTGACTTCTACACCACTTTTATATGATTCTGAAGTTTATTTTTTGAAATTGTTATTCAAATCCAGTTGTTTTAAGGTTAGAAGGAAGGGACACCATGGGTGACTTAAGAACCAATATAAATGTCTTGTAATGTATTGGATTTTTCATTCACCCTTTGAAAGACAGTTTTCCCGTTTCATAAAGGACAAAGGCCCTTTTTTTTCTTTTTTAAGCTTAATAAGGTGTACTTACATTTCACTCTATTAATTTATAAGTTTAATTCTTTTCTTATTTATACTTCTGAAAATTAAACCTAAGAGGATTTACAGGGTGTGAGAAAGTAATAAAAGTTTTGAAATTGTCTAGAAAGCAGAAGGAATTATTTGCTTTGAACTTAATATTGAGGCACAAACAAACTGAGAAAATAGGACTTGTTTGTAATTGCATATTCCCTACCTCTCTAAGTTGGCAGAATGGCCACAACCAACCTTTCCAACAATGATTCCTTCTATAAAAAAAAATATTCACATATATAATAGGCTTCTACAAAGTATGCCACAGTATGTATGAAATGGACTATAGTACAAACAAGCACAGTACTTGTTTGAAGTTAATTGTATGTTTAAAGGTATGTCGACACAAGCAAGTGTGATCAGCAGACTTGTGGGCGGGCTAGAAAACGAGAAAGCTACTTGTTTACCTAGTAAGTATTCACCAGTCATTTTCTCTTGCCCACCCAGGTGCCCACTGATTATGCCCACTTGTGTGGACAGGCCTTTAGTTTACAGTTCATTGCAGTGAAGAAAACTACTACTGAAATGATGCATAACATTTCTTATAAAAAAATGCTTTTCATTTCTTGCAAGTATTTAATGTGAAAACTAATGCAAAAAAGTCCTTGCAGTTAGCCTGATCATACTGAAAGTATATTCTCTGTTTAGCATGTCTGTCTTGCAACAGATAATTTTAACCCATTGGATCTTGAGTGTTGACTTAATATGAATAAAAGCAGGTGATGGAAATGCCTTGCCATGGGGAAATTGTTTAGCAACAGAAATATTCAATGAGCCTTCAAGGAATGGGCCAGCTCGGTAGCTCCTGCACAATTTCTACCAGTCCACAAGGATAGAGTATAAATCTGTGAACCATACCTGGGAGAGGGTCATTACAGGGGGACACTAAACACACACAATACTATGAAATAAAAATACCACAACGGTTTCTTGTTATTGTCCCCTCCCCCCCCCCCAATCCCTTGCCCGTTGTTGTCGTGGGGGGGCTTAGGAGACGGACTGAGACCCAATACAGGGATCTCCCCTGCCTAGGGCCTCAGCCCTCGACTCTCTAATTTTGCATGGTCTTTTCCCCTGCTTTTGTTTCCATCCCTTCTACTATCTACTTCCTAAGGTGTGAGAGCCGTGCTGAGAGGATGAAAGGCTGACCTTGTGCCAGTCCTGAACGGCCTGCGGGAACTATGGGCACGGTACTCCGACTAATCTAGCCCTTACCTTCAGTAGCGAGGAGGTGGACCAGTTAGGCCTTTTATATAATCCAGGTTCCCCATGACCAGTAATGAAAATGTAATCCCTTTATTAGAGGCTATGAGGCTAGCCCCTTTATCAAATAGCCCCAACCCAGGCTCTCCTTTGACCACGGCTCCGAACACTGAAACTACTACCCACTCCTCAATGCCTACTAGTGCATTACCCACCCAAGCAGAGAATCAATCTCCAGAAGACATTCCTACCCACCCAACTTCCTCAAATTCATCAACTCTACCCCCGCAACCTTCATCAAACAACCAATCCTCCCTTATTACTACCTTGCAGCCTTATTCTCCATCATTCCGTAATACTCCCTCTTCCACACGTCCCGACCATCCACCACCAAACCCTACAGATATCTTAAATACTCTGTTTAGCCCAGCTAAATGGGACCGATTTTTCGTGATCCCTGCTACAGCTCCTTACTCAGGCAACACTCTTCTCTTTCAACAATGCCTCCAAAAACAAGTAGGCAGAGTCCCTTTCTATACCAGACGCGATCGCTCCCGTCTGGTAACAGTCAGATCAGAAACTGAATCTATAGCACTATCAAATTTAACTGATCATTCTGGCAACCCCATTCCTGCAGAACCTCATCCAACCCTTAATACCTGTACCGGAACTGTCTCTCTCTCCCCAGCAAACTGCCCAGTCGATACCAAAGATTGGTCAGACTGTGGAGAAGACTTATTAGGATGCCTCAAAGACCAAGATGTGAAATCAGTACATTGCTACACCATTCCTCTCCTAAAGGTCATACTCCTTACTCTAGTAACATCGTTCGCTCAGCCCCTCCCCTCCACCCCAAGATGTCCCCATTTCCACTTCTACATTCTACCTCCCTCAGACCAATTCCTTTGCCACTCTAAAACCCAGACACCAATCTCAACCACAGCTCCTATCTCAACTACAGCCCCAACACCAACCCCTCTCCCTCCCCGCACTACCCGCAGTAGACAGACTAAACGTTCTAACCCTTCTTCCCCTACAGCACAATCACCTCCACCTACCTTTACCTTAATTCCTGAGACACCAGTCTCCTCTTCCCCCCTCATAAGAAAACGTTTATCCCACAAACTCTCCAACCAATTCCACTGCAGAAACAAAGGATGACATCCAAGTTATATGCTTAAGACACAAGATCCCATAACTCTTGCTCCTTCCACACTTGAAGTGGTTGCCGATATTCATACCCCTCCTACTAATATTCCCCCTACACCCCTTCCTCCTACTCCCTCTCAACACAACCTAACCCCTCAATTCCATCCTCCCAATACCCATCCTGATATCCATCCTCCCAATACCCATCCTCCCAATACCCATCCCCCTCTTACTCACAGCACCTAATCCCTCCCAAGACAACACATCCCCTTCAACTCCAACTATCCATCCTTCCGATATCCACCCTCCTACCACTAATACTCCCCCCACATCTACTCCCTCCCAACACAACCCACCCCCTTCAACCCCAACTACAGGCACATTCTCCCTCCCTCCATCCCCTCTATCCTTTGCACTCCCTCCCGGATACACACGAGAATCACTCATGGCACAACAATGCCCTTCTCCAAATTCCCTACCTCCTAATACCGCTCCTTTACACCCCCTAGCTCCTTCTCCCCCAGATTTCCCAATACGTACCATATGCGATATCACTCATAAGCTATGAGTCCTCTATGTAACATCCCTCTTTCAGTTCCTCACATTCTCTTGTAGAGGTACAGCACATACCTCTGCTTTTCCACACCTATCCTCCCTTCGCCGACCTCCCAACATATCAGACATCCTTACAGAATCCCACAGCTTCTGTCTTGACAACCTGTTTTCCTTCCTCAGATGCATAAATATCCTTCACTTGATCTAATTCCCTTACCTAAACCACCATAACCTTTTCCCCCATCTTCAACCTTTCAACACTCCTCTAGATAGTTGACACATGGCAACTATCACCTGTCATCCCCTTTACTATACCTTCCTATAGTACTATATGACCTTAGATGTCTAGCACATTTATTTTAACCATTAACCATTCTTGTTATTGTTAGTCCACAACGTGAACTACTTACAGCTCATATAGAATTTGCTGAACAAAAACTATTACCATCTTGATACTGCATAACTAAAAAACTTGGAAATGGGGGCTGGCCTACAAGCCACACCTCTGAGAGTTGCCATTTAAATATTTTAGTCTACGTACTTCTGCCTGTGTTTTGAACTCCCTAGTTTTGCTTGTCAGGACCTGCAGGACAACGAGGCCTTCATTGTCCAGCTCAAAAGTAAACATGAACTGTTTTATCATACAAGCAGCATTAGATTTTGCAACTCCTATTATGCATAGCTAACTTACCTGCAACTGACAATAAAGGCCCATAAAATTACCTTCTAATATGGTTGTAGGCAATTCTTTACATACAAATGCACCTGTGACATAATTTCATCTAGCTTGCCTGGCTGCAAAGGATGGCAAAATGGACGAGAGAATAATTTGTCCTAGATGCTAGAGTAGGGGTTCAAATCAGTCAACATCTTGGACAAGGAGTTCCAAATGCAGCATCACTGATACACCTGGATCCAACAGTTTATTTCTGCCTTCACAAGAGGTATACAACTTATATTATCAGTTTGGCTGCTAATTATTAGTTGGGTAATTACTGGGAATGGAAATTTAGAGGATGGAGATTGTGCATTCTTCAGTGTATACATTTAACCCTATCATAACAGGGCCATACTTTTCTGTGACATAATAATTATGCAACAGTATAGCCTTATTGGCTGCGCATGTGTTGTGTACAGCCAACCCATGTCATATGTCATGACAAATGTAGGTGTGCCCATCACTAAGGGGTAAAGGTCACAGTACAATGAATTTGGAAAGCTTTTATTAGCGCCTAGGTTTTGTTGGAAAGAACAATTAACATGCATTAGTACTTTTTTTTCTTTTCAAAACAGGGAAACATTTGCTGTAATATTGACAAGAACATTTTGACTAATAAAACAAAATCAAATGTGTATATATATTTCTTGGATTAGGGAAAGGAACAAGACTCAAGATATTGAACTTACTGATGTTGGGATGACATGATCTACATGCCATGTCTCCTGTGACTTAGTGTATTGATTTTGTGTACATAAAGAGGACTCCACCAAGGTGTCTGTTACTTGTCCTATCTACCTCACTTCTTCAGCAGCCATCTCTACTTATATTACCTGTTGATTATTTCATAATAGCTCTTTTACCAGTTTTTCGTTAAACCAAGGTTCCTATAGCTTCCCCAGCAACAGATACACCCCATTCCATGCAATCACCCTATACTCTTAACCCTTTCTTTTATTAATCTCCAATTTACTTCATTTGCACCCCCTCTACCCTTTTCCCTATCATAGTATCCTATAACACTAAAACCTTTGACATTTACCATTCTTTATCATAATCATTAACTCATTCACCCATTTCACTACAATACTTTACCATAGTGCTGTATGTCCTTTTTAAAATAATATTGTTAAAATTACTATCATATTCATTATGTCAATAATAAAAATGTACTAGTATCAATAATTTTAGGGGGGAAAATTCAATTATCAGGTATATCAGGTATATCAGGTATATCAGGTGAGGTCCTGTAGGGCTACTAATTGACTCCTTTGTGGCTCAGCAGTTCTGAAGCCATCTCTGTACCAACAACATTTGTAAAACAAAACTACAGTGGACAGCACAGGGTTAAGCCACATCCACACAAACAAGAATTTTGCTCACTAACAGAATAGCTTCTTAGTCTGCCAGCTAATCAGGAAAGTCTGTGTGTGAAAAAATCAGATACTTTCCTGCCCAGTGATATTTATCATCATAATAAACACTAGTTACTAACTGACTAACATGTCTTTAGGAAATGAAGAAATTTAAGAGAAGCAATATCAAAATCAAATTATTTTATTCAGTCTGCTAAAAAGACTCACCTGTCCAAGTTTCCTCTCAATAGAATAAATCTTTATCAACACACCAATTTTCATTCTTATCTTTCAGTAAGAAAAGCAACCCTCCAGTCATCTCACCATTAAAACAGTCCCAATTCATGACAGACTGGGTAAACAACTATACGAAAGGCTTGGTATACTGACGTACTGAGGAATTGCATATCTGTTTCATAGAATGGTTGAGGAACACTTGAAAGACTCTTTCATCCACCATATAACACATGAACATATGCCTTTCCCATATTTTAAAATTTCCTGAAAACTATCGAACCCTGATCCATAAGCATTCTATGGATAGGTCCAGAATTTTTCATAGTAACTGTATTTGATAATAGTAAAACCAATTACTTGACACAGAAATGGCTTAAAAAATTGTTACTAGATCCTATGAACAAGTTAATAGAAACTATAATCATTAATAAATGTTCTGGTAAAGTAAAGCTGTTGATTTTATAAATTTAGAAAATCTTATCTTTATACTCGGTCAATCTAATCCCATTACACTAAAATTAGTCCATGGCAAAATAGCCCTAGCTGAATTCATGGACTTCACATTTCCCTTTATATATGATGACAATCTTGTTTATTGCACTTTGTGCTGTGGAGGATTTTTTTTCCTTAAGTCATTTCCTTTGAAGAAATAAATGATGAGTTAAACACAAGTTAGTTATACATTCCCCAGCATTCGTTTTAAGCTAAAACTTGACTGTAATCAATGAAAACGGAGACCAAATGAGGCTTTTGCAAATACTACATCATTAAGACTGTTTATTTTTTTCTATTTAAGAAGTTTTTATTGCATTCAATTTCTTTATACATTCAAGAGAGCATCCTATAAGCCATGTCCACACAAGGGACAGCTTACACAGGTACTGGCTGCTGTGCATATATATTCCTCAATTCTTAAACAGTGTTAACCCATTGGTGCTGAGTCAGTGCAGTTCCCTGTAATTTAGCTTTATGATTTTTTTTACACATTAATGGCTCCATCAAGAAGTAAATTAGTAGATTTGTCTGATCTTACCAGACTACCCCATTTCTTGATTTCCTTTTTTTTTCAAATACTATTCACATCATTACTGTTTCTTATCATTATTAACATGATGTGTTATATTGTTATTACTAATGTAAAGATTTTTTTTTTCATAATTTAAATGGAAATGGGTAAACACTCAAGATCAGGTTTGCAAGTAACTGACTCCTTGGTGACATTAAGCATTTGAGGAGCCATATATATGTACAGAAAATGAATAAAATTTCTGTACATAAAATCCCACAGAGTTTGAAATGCATGTATATACTTCCCTGGCAGCCAAGAGTTAACAGATTGAGCAATACCGAGTTAGCTGGTTTTGGTCACTACTACAGGGTCCACACCTATGATATAATCCACTTGTATACCTGCTACCCACATTCCCAATGTGTGAACTGGAACATGATCAATTAACAAAGTTTGCCCTTGTTACTGCCCCCTCATGTAAACATGGTTTTATACTAACAAGAATTTGAACTAATTCAATCATAGTTTAACTAACTGCCATAACTCAGCAGCAATGTTTGATATCCATATTAAACCATAGAGTGGAAATGAAAAACTGTAGTAGAACACCCAGCACAGTATGACTAATACTTTGTTCAATCAATCTGAAATTTAGTCACATTATAAACATGAATCCTACAATCATAAACAATATTTTTTTTTCAATTCCAATTCTTGGTCCATCACTTTACATTCAAGGATATATTGTATCCCAATTTTACGAGTAAAAAAGACTAGCAATGATGGTGTCAAAGTTGTGGCACACTGAGATGCCCATTATGGAAACAAATAAACAGAGTTGCCCCAAAACAGCTATGATTAAAAAAAACAAGAAAACTTTCAAATCAAGCCAATAATATAATTTCTGTGGGACAGCTTCAAAACTTGCTACAAAATATATAAAATGAATGGCAATAAAAGACACATAACCATAACATCATAAAGTTAGTAATTTCTGATAAATGAACATATACAGACAAATCTATCTCACACACAGTACTATGGTAATTATAGTCATAAAAATATCCAATATAAGTACACCTAAACACAAATAATACATTAAGGCATTGTAATATTTCTATATCAGTCCCACTAGCTATTGTGGCTTTGGTTCATTCTTGTGAAAACTAATGTTATATCCTCCAGTGTTTGGGTCTTGCTGAAGCTGAAAGTTGTTTGTAGAAAGCCCAAATGGTCGTAGAAACATGTTGCCCAAATCCTTTAGTTTACCTGTAATGTAAAATGTGGTATGGAGAATACTACAGACTGGGAAACTTGCTCCTGATAGGTTTGTCAGGATATTCATGGTTTTATGTCTACCTCAGCATCTCACTTATTTATCAACCTACTCTCACCCTATCACTATCTCCCTTACCTACCAACCTTTCAAAAGCTCCTTTAGTTTCCCCACCTTTAACTACCACCTCTTCTTGTTAACCTTTCACTATCTCATCCTCCCATCTAGTCATTACCTCACCTTCTCATCATTTCACTACCTCATTCCCATTAACTTTCTCTCTCCTTTCCATTACCCTA